CCCCCCCCCCCCCCCCCCCCCCCCCCCCCCCACAAATTCCAAAACAAGAGGTTGAGGCTCACCGAGTAGCACTCCTTGGCGGTGCCCACCAAACGTAGATAGAAAACACCAAGAGCCTGCAAGTATCTGACAGAGTTGATTGACATAGGAGCACGCTGTGTGAGCATAGGGAAAAAAAGGTCGTGCTGGGTGGGAGCGAGCTGAAGCAGGCAAGCAGATGCCTGCTGAATGCCGAAGAGCTGAGGTCGTACTTGAAGTCTTTGGCAGCGATATAGGCATAAATGATATCTTTGTCTGGTGCCAATTGAAGCAGCTTGAGAGTCAGGCAGAGGAAGGGGGTAGGTTTGATGCTGCCCCCATAGACACCGCCAATGTGGTCCAGCTGTACCGCTTTGTCGATAACGGTTTCCGCTATCAAGCACGAGAGTGAGCGGCTGGCGCGTAAGCAGCAGAGAAGGAAGGACGATCGTTGGGAACCACCGATAAGACGAGGCCAGGCGCCATGCGAGACAAACCGGTCAGCGCGAAGCAGTGCTCCTTCCAGTAGAGCGTGTCGTAGATACGAGTGCGAATGATCTTCTCGACCAAAAACTGTGGGTTGGCGCCGTGGACGGTGCCAGCATCGCCGACGGTCTTGTTGGCCATGGCGTCAACCGGCAAAGGCCCGGGCCAAAGACTCAAAAGCTGTCGTCCGATTTGACCATGAACAACCCCAAGGTCCACAAGCCAAATGGCCTCTCTGCCCGTTTTGCTTTTCCCCCCTGCTTCCCGATGCTTGACCTCGTATCATCCAACTTTGTTGGATGCACCTCGGCAGGCACAGAGCACGCGAGCTCAAAAAAAAAAAAAAGAAAAAAAACCTTGAGCGTTGAATTTATCTGACGTTGCAGTTGGTAGCGACAATGGCTTTGGACTGTCGTTCTGGAGCTCTCTCTCTCTCTCTCAAACTCTCTCTCAAAACCAATTCATTTCTTCTCTTCTCTCTCTTCCTTCACTTCTCTCTTCTCTCATTCAGTTCTCTCTCTCTTCTCTGTTCCTTCTCTTCCTCTCTCCTCTCTCTTTGCTGTTTATTTTTTGTTCGAACCGACGGGTTCGTTCAGTGTGCCTGCTGGCAAGAGAATTGCGTGCGACGGTGTGCCAAGACTTCTCGGTCTGGGTCCACCCGACTGGCAATTGGCCGGCTCTTGGCTGGGAGCTTTCGCACTTGCGAATGCTCCCGCCTCGGGTAGTATCCAGTTTTTTGTTTTGTTTTTCAACTCGCCCCGCCTCCACATACATACTTGTGCGCCACACGCCTTGACGGGCCAAATCAGGCGCGAGCTCAACCTGTGCTTTAGTCTTGTGGCCGCTCAGTTCAGGAGGCATCGACAACACAACTCGCCATGCCCATCTCTCGCCGCCGACTTCAAGCATGGGAGCGCGCAGGGCTCGCCAATGTGACTGCGCGCACCAGCAGCCAGCCAGCCTCCCTTGACCCAGGCAGTAGCATCCCACTCATCTCCGATACCCGCCTCCTGGTCGGTGATGGGGTGGACATCCTCGCCCACCGTGGGGCCATCTCCTTCTCACCGGTTCGTGGCAGTGCTCCACTGCTCGCTGTTTAGCTTTGTATTCTTGTTGTTGGCACAAGCTTGCCCGTGCTGCTGGTCGAATAGCCAGTCCCGTGCTGCTCTCATGCCAAGCTAGCCTTCGCAAACACTCACCTCACCACCAATTCCCAGACACCATCGCCAAAAAAGGAAGACGGACTTCGAGCTCAGGGTGAACTTGCAATCCAGCTCGACAACATTGTGGCGTTTCGCATTGCTGCTCTCAAAGGTGCGCCAGACTTGGCCTATGGAGGACGTGACCTGGGTGACAATCTCATCCTTCAAATACATTGATGCGCCTGTTTCTTGCCTCTCATAGCCTTAAAGCATGCCTCAAACCAAGTCCGAAGCGGCACTCAGATTATGGCCTTCGCCTCAAGCCCGAAAGGACGGGAAACTACAGGTATTAATCAGAACAATCCGCCCACCAACCGCTGCTGTAGCTTTTGCTTGCCCTCGCGCTCACTCGTTCCTCGCCGTGCTTCTGTAGCCGGGGGGAGTTCAGGCCGTGCCGTTGTGACAACAGACCCAGTTGCGCAGCTCACGCTGGCCCTACTTGTGCCCCTTCTGGAGTCGCAAAGCCGCACCGATTCGAGCCTCATCCCCTCCACCGTCAATGCGCTGCTGCTGTTCCTCAAGTCGCTCTCCCCAGACGCTCTCAAGGTCAGCTCACCAAGCCACAACACTGATGCACCCTGCAACCCTGCTCTCGTTTGATCCAACTTGCAGTTGTATGTAGCCACAGTGGGTGGGAAAGACAAAAAAGCTCGGTTCTCACCCCTCCATACCACCAATACAGAGTGCTCCACAAGCAGCTTTGAAGGGGCTAGAGCGCGTCTTGCGCAGTTGGTTACAAATGGGCCCGGAACAACTGGCTGCTGCTGGTGTGCCAATTGAAGATGTGGCCAGTGGCCTCACTGTTTTCACATTGGCCCGGTCAGTGCCTTCGTTGGGCAATGTCTACCCGATAGTCCCCTCGCTGTGACCCCAGCTGCTCTTGGCACACCACGCTGTCTCATCTTGCAGTGCTCTGCCCCTACGCAATGTTGCAGTGACAATGTTGAAGCCTATCTCGAACTTCTTTGCGAATTGCTCAGCAATTTGGATCCTGATGCTGAACTTCCCGTGGGCGACTACTTGCGCAGCTTTGCCCAGTCCAAGCTGCGCCTCGTTCCCCCCATGCTCATTCAGTCCAGTGCCTGGCCGCTCGTCGCCGGTGGCCGCGATAGCCACGAAGGCCGACGACAATTCCATCATCCACAGCACCCGCATCCTCTCGTGCGCACCCTCCGCAACCAGGGCTGGCACTGTGATGGTACGTGGCCTCACGCTTGGCTTCAAGCGACATTGCTTCTTCTTGGAAATTTGAATGACACGGCTGCGCGGTGCGCCTGCATGCGTCGTCCACACATTCACGCTCCCGATGTGCGTAGGCGGCTGTGGCTACAAGTCATCGCGCAACTCGTTCCGGCCCCGCTACAGATGTCGCGATGGTGCGTACGCGTGCGTAAAAACGACGCAGCGAAAGACTGCGCGGGTTTTCCCCGCAACGTTGGGCTCAATTTTTGAGCTGTCCGCCCCCTTCTCTGCTCATGTTCCCATATATTGCGCTTGGCCTTGCAGGATGTGATTATGACCTGTGCGCGCAGTGCATGGGTGATACAGTAAACGCCGCCTATTCCTTGGCTGCTGCTGATGGCTACTTGTACATCCTGAGCAACGAGGGTTGCTCCATAACGCAAGTGGGAACGGGCTATCATGGCACCGTGGAAGGCCACATTTACCACCAACGTACCGGTGAGTGGGATTTCTTCCCTACACGCTACTGCAAACCCCCTTTGCCATGTCTTAGCCGACTACCAAGCACTTGACCGCCCACCGACATCTCACTTTTTTTTTTTTTTTTTTTTTTTTTTTTTTTTTTGGCGTCATGTGCTGCCGCACCCCCGCCTCCTCGCAGGAGTCGAGCCCGGCACGATTGCCACGGCGGACGGTTGCCTTCTACACTTTGCCAACAAACGCGTCATCAAGGGCGCTCTGGCTGAAGTCCTGAGTTGCAGCACCCTCCAGCCGGTTGGCCTGCTCCTACCCCCGCCGGATGCACAGGCCAACCTTCGGCATCACCAGCGTCGACAGCTTCATATTTGGTCTGATGGTCACTATTTTTTCCGCATGCGTTACCGGGATCACAATGAATCGCTGGTGGACGTTGTGGTTGAGCAGTTTGCCCTGCCCACCGAGCTACCGTGGCAGCAGGCCAATCCGCCCGTGGCTGAAGCCACTGTTCAAGCACATGCTCTTCGAGCAGCCGTGTCTCCCTGGACAAATGATCAAGGAGAGACGTGCCTGGTGGTAGCCGACTTAACGGCGAGTGCCACCGAGTGCCTGGCCGGCACTCTCTGCACAGGTGACGTGGTGCTTTCGGCGCAAGGTACGCCCGTGAACTCTTTGGAGGATTTTGATGCAATCTTGGTACGGCTTGTCGCTCAAGAAAGTGAAGACGCGAGTGGGCAATCTGCGACTGCCCCTGCTCAGGCCTCAGAGGGAGGGCAGCACAGTGAGACATCTGAAGCAATGCTGAGCATCTCGTTTCAGCGCCGTGGTTCAACCTGTATTCTTGAGCGCATGAAAGTACTTCGCCCCAGTACCAGCTCCGAGAGTGCATCCAGCACCAATAGCCAAGACGGCGACCACAGTAACGAGCCTAGTGGTTTCAAGCTGGGCTCGACTGCCGTGGGCCACGATGACAGCGCCAATGGCGAGGAAGCTGCGGGCAAGACCACCTGTGGCTTGAGCAAAAGCCTGCTGCGTAATTGTTGCGTGACAGCGATCGGTGATGCTGTCCTTTTGCTCAACGTATCGTCAGCCCCGGGCTCCTGGGCAGCTTATGGGGGCCGCTCCTCCGAAGCGGCGGGGCTGATAGAACATTACGCCTTTGATCTCAATACCGGACGGGCTGTCTCGCCGCAATCCTACATTTCAACCGCCACCAGCAACTCAATATTTGAGGGCGAGGGGGGTTTGTCGGTGGCCTTGACAACTGACCCGCAACACCAATGCTTGTGGGGCTATAATGGCACCACGGTCGAGGCCTTCTCGTGGACCGACTCGCCTCTGTCACAGCAGCCTCTGGGCGCTGCGCTTCGGCTGTCGGCAGATCTTGGCGCTGGTGAAGCCTGCTCGCGATCTGCAGTTGTGCATCTATTAGCACGGCTCGTCAACCAAGCCGCCGCACGCAGTTCCTCCGTCTCTTTCCGTGCCGTTGAAACCATGCTCACATCGGGCGCGGAACAGCTCAGCCAGGCAACCAAACCCAGCACTCAACTTGAGTTGGCATCAGCCCGACAGGTGCTGTGTGCTTTTGGCGAGGTGTTTGCCGCGCTCAAAGATGACCCCAATCAAAAAAACCGCGGCTCCTTGGACGAGCTACTGCAAAGTCTATATCATGTTTTGACGCGCTGCCGCGCCCTTGCCAAATCCGCCGACAGTAGTTTGGCAAGTGACCTCAGCACCCTGACCGGATATCTTGAGGAGTGGGCATTCAACGACGGTACCGACAGCGGGGAAACTCACACCCGAATCGCCGCAGCTAATTCGCTGGCTCACGGCCTGGGTCTTTTATACGATGGGCTTGACGCCCAGCGTGCGCTATTCTTCCGGGCGCTGGACACGGCGGCGACCAGTCCTCGCGTTATGAAGCCTCTATTCACGGAGCTCATTGTGAACTGTGACCTGCAGACCGAGTCAGGTCGCGAACAGCTATTAGCATTTGTGGGTCCAGTCGTTGCGGCTGCCGAACACCGCCTGACAGAGCGAGTGCGCGATGCTGTGCAAGCGGTGCTCACCCATAACTTGTCGGACTCCAACAACAGCAGCAGCGCCCAACCGTCCATGGATGGTCCTGAGCGTGCCGATCAACCTACGTTGGTGCTCGCGCGCATGTGCGGGCGCCTTTTTAGCCAAACCAGTGAAGATGACGCCTTGGTCGCACAGCGCCGCGTGGCCAGTCAGCTGTTGGCCGCCACCTCAAGGATCCTACGCCTACTACAGGAACTG